CCACACTAGCTAACATGGCGAAATGACGTTTCTAATAAAAATCCAAAATTAGCTGGGTATGGTGGCGGGCGTCTGTAGCCCCAGCTACTCGGGAGGCTGAGGCAGGAGAATTGATGGAACCTGGCAGGTGGAGGCTGCAGTGAGCCAAGGTTGTGCAGCCTGGGTGACAGAGGAAGGAAGGAAGGGAGGGAGGAAGGGAAGGAGGGAGGGAGGGAGAGAGAGAGAGAAAGAGAGAGAGAGACAGAAAGAAAGGAAGGAAGGAAGGAAGGAAGGGAGGGAGGAAGGGAAGGAGGGAGGGAGGGAGAGAGAGAGAGAAAGAGAGAGAGAGACAGGAAGGAAGGAAGGAAGGAAGGAAGGAAGGAAGGGAGGGAGGGAGGGAGGGAGGGAGGGAAGGAGGGAGGGAGGGGGGAGGAAAGCTCAGAGATTGACTAGCCATGAGCCTTGGACAGAAGATGAACTCAAGGCCAGGCCTTTCTGACTCCAGGCCCTCCCAGCAGATATCACCACTGGAGGATCACACTTTCCACCACAGAAACCCTCAACTATTGTCTTTTTAGGTGGGGCTTCTATTTCACCTCACCTGAGTCTGGGCCACACTGTCTGCCATTCTAGGTAAAGAAGAGTTCATGAGAGTGGGGACAGAAGCTGGGTGTGCATGGCTCAAAGCAGTGAATGTCCTCTTCCCGTCTCTGCCAGGCCAGGCCCCAGATGGAGGCCTATGTTTTCAAGGGAGATTAATAAATTCATTTCAGGAGTGCAAAATTAGCAATCTCCTCCAAATAGCAGACTTAAACCTGTGTTCTCCAATAGCTTTCTCAGCAACTAAAAGAAGTATTTTGATCTCCTACCTGATTCATGATCAGAACTTGGGCAGGTGTCATCTAAAAATCCCCTTGAACTGGCTGGGTGTGGTGGCTCACACCTGTAATCCCAGCACTCTAGGAGGCCAAGGCAGGTGGACCACTTGAGGCCAGGAGTTCATGACCAGCCTGGCCAACATGGTGAAACCCCATCTTTACTAAAAGTCCAAAAATTGGGTTGGGCATGGTGGCTCACACCTGTAATTTCAGCACTTTGGGAGGCCAAGGTGGGTGGATCACGAGTCAGGAGTTCGAGACCAGCCTGGCCAACATGGTGAAACCCCATCTTTACTAAAAATACAAAAATTAGCCAGGCGAGGTGGCAGGTGCCTGTAATTCCAGCTACTCGGGAGGCCCTGGGAGGTGGAGGTTGCAGTGAGCCGACACCATGCCATTGCACTCCAGACTGGGTGACAGAGTAAGACTCCGTCTGAAAAAAAACAAAAAAACAAAAAACCACACACACACACACACACTAATTGGCCAGGCATGGTGGTGCACACCTCTCATCCCAGCTACTTGGGAGGCTGAGGCAGGAGTATCACTGGAGTCTGGAAGGCAGAAGCTGCAGTGAGCCAAGACCATGCCACTGCACTCCAGCCTGGATAACAGAACGAGATTCTGCCTAAAAAAAAAAAAATTCTCCTTAAACCTCAGCAGAATTCAAGTGACCCTGAGGAAGTCTGACATCCCTCCTTCTGTTAAACGCGTTGGGTTAACTTAGGACGAGGTCTCTCAACCTCGGCACCGTCGCTACTTTGAAATGGATGCCTTTGTGCTCTCGGGGGCTTTCCAGTGCAGGATGTTTGGCAGCGTCTCTGGCCTACCAATGGATGCTGCTGGTTACTGGTTATCCCCACCGTCGTGACAACCACAAATATCTCCAGACGTTGCCAAAAGTCCCTTGGGAGTCCCCGGCTCTAGTTAAGACCTGTCGCTCTAGAGTTTTGTCCTTCCAGACTTCTCATCCACCACAGTGCACGGACATGAGCAGAAATATCAAACTGAACCCTTCAGGACCAGATACAGGGAGAGGGCAAACAACATAAAAGGAATGGGAGCTTCGACACCAAATCAAGACTCATTACTGAGCAGTCGCAGAGACACACATTCCTAGCAACGAATGGTTAAAAGCAATGAGGAGCCATTCATTCCATGAATCAAACAACAAACATTTGCCTATTCACTGATCAGTTATTAGGTTATTAGGTGCTGGGCTACACACTGGAGATCAAAGATTGAGAAGACCAGCAGCCTTTACCCTCACATAGCTTATCCCCTGGCAGGAAAACAGGTATTACATGATGGATTACAACATAGCCTGTTAAGAGTTGTAATGGAGGAGTACAGGGAGCTCTGAATGAGTTTACTAAAGGTGAACTCAGGGGCTAGAAAGGGGTCCTCTGTGTCATCTCAACCTATAAAGCTTGGCCTATCCAGGCGGTGGCTCATGCCTATAATCCCAGCGCCTTGGGAGGCCAAGGCAGGTGGATCACCTGAGGTCAGGAATTTGAGACTAGCCTTGCCAACATGATAAAACCTCGTCTCTACTAAAAACACAAAAACTAGCCAGGCATGATGGCAGGCTCCCGTAATCCCAGATATTTGGGACACTGAGGCAGGAGAATCGCTTGAACCTGGAAGGTGGAATTTACAGTGAGCCCAGATCATGCCAGTGCACTTCAGCCTGGGCAACAGAGTGAGACTTCGTCTCAAAAATAAAAATATAAAAAATAAAAATATTGGCCCATCCAACAAGCTGCACTTTTCCCACCCCATCTCCGCATCTCCCCTCCAGGCTCAGCAGTCCCCCTTCAGATGGGAAGCCTGGTTCCAGCAGCAGTCGCCTGGGACCAGGTAGGCCCCAAAGTACTGAGAAGGCATCAGGATCCAGTCGACTTTGCTCCCAGTTGTAACTTTTGATTTCATTTTGAGCCAGCTAAGGCCATGGAGTAATCGAATTAGGCAAATATTATGGGGAAGAAAATGGGCCTGTAAGTAGCTTAAAGTGATGGAAATGACCTGAAGGTGGCCATGCAAATGGTCTGTATAATATCCTGTAATAACCCTGTCCAGGCAGCCCCGAGGAGGCTGGCTTCCGATAATGAGGTGTCTGATTAGAATGATGTTCAGTGGGAGAATGTGTGAGTGTCCACATAAATCAGGCCTGGAGAGCCTCCCCAATTAGCTGGGAAGGAGACAGGCAAGGTGGGTGCCAACCCTGCACTGGGTGGCTGACGGGCAAACTGCAGAGATGGGGGAGGGAAAAGAATCATTCTCGGAACAATCCCTGACATTTTATAGCACTTTACAGTTTATAAATCCTTTTTTGTGCCATATTTTACCTATGCCTCATACAGTGTTTTAGGTATTAAATAAGACAACTTCTGTTGGGAGATAATGTTGAATTTGGGTTGGGATTTTAGCCCAGTACATGGCACATAGTAGTTGTTCAATAAATGGAAATTATCGAGCATCATGTGGCAGAGAGATGATTTTCTAATCATACTTTTCCTCCCCGCTGGCTCTGGGGCCATGAGGATGCTTATAGACACCCCCAGAGGGCTTCCTTTCCCTTCCTCTGCTTCCCAAGCAGTAGGGGAGAGATTCACGTTGTTCTCAGGAGAAAGCTGCTCAAGAAATGTTCATTTCCTTTCTTACCTGCCCACCTTCACTCCAGCTGACAGGAGCAGACCCCCACCTGCCCAAGACACCTCATTCCACTCAATAATTGGATATGGAGTGGCTACAATGTGCCCTTCATTCATTTATGTATTCGATAATAATTACCAGATGCCAAGTACAAACCAGGCTCAGGCCCACGGGGAAGGAGGAGAAAACAGAGGTGGTCAACAGCCTTGGGGATGCAGGCCTGGCAGAGTACAGCCACTTGGTGGTCACATCACCCCTGTGGGTATCAGAGTCAACAAGCCAAAAGGGCAGAGCAGGGGACTGTCTGAGGTCAGGGCCAGGCCACACAGCCTCGGGGAAATAAGAGCTGAAATCCTCTCATCTGGAGGCAGCGGGCCCTTTACAGGGCTTCGCCCAGTCCCTCTCCTGTCATCCTGTCATCCTGCAGCTCCCCTCTGACTAGTCTATCCTCTCTGTTTCACTGATGAAGAAACCGAGGCCTAAAGAAATTAAGTATCTTGCTTAAGATAACATAGCTAAAAAGTAAAAAATTATTATCAACCCAGGGTTTCAGGTTTGAAACCTAGTCTTGTATAGGTGAACAAATGTATATAGTATCACACTCCTGAGCACACTCAGTTCCGATGTGACCATTCAGACCTGCATGAATGCTTGGTGTCGACATACACAAACCCACATACATACAGCCTCATGGCCATGTATGCACCAAAGCCAAGCTCCAGAATGGCATCATCGGACCCCTTAAGCTTTTTTTTTTAAATGCCAAAGAGTAGTAATTTGGGAAGGAGCAAGTAAGGTGCCAAGACAGAGATAGAAGAACCGTCCCCTGAAATTCTGAGCAAGATAGGTGACTCCTGGGGAAGTCTAGACCAAGATGGGGAAAACCTGACCCACAGTGACTTATATGTGATCACCCAAAGTCCAGGTAAGTTGAAGGACTCCCTATAGGTAATTCTTATATACACATGAACCTCCTGTTTGAATGAATGAATGAATGAATGAATATTTGCTCCTGTCTTAGTTAGCTCAGGCTGTCATAACAGAATACTGCACATAGGATGGCTTCAACACCATACATCTATTTACTCACAGCTCCAAAGGCAATAAATCCACAATCAAGGCTCTGATTGATTCAGTTTCCATTGAGGCCTCTCTTTCTGACTTGTGGACAGCTGCCTTCTTGCTGTGTCCTCTCATGATCCTCCTTCAGTGTGTGTGCACAAAGAGAAATCTCTGGTGTCTCATCTTACAAGGACACTGATCCCATCAGATTAGGGTCCCACCCTCATGACTTCATTTAACCTTAATCTACTCCTTAAAAGCCCTATCTCCAAACAGAGTCACATTGGGGATGAAGGCTGCAGCATACGAATTTGGAGGGAGGGTCACCGTTCAGTCAATAACCCCTCCATACTTCAGCTTGAGCTGAAGGCAAGCTCTGGGGCATAGGAATGTAGGAAAACAGAGGAAGACACATGTCACACTCACCAAATGAACAGCCCCTACAGGATCTTGGATGCTGCACAACTCAGACACAGGTTCCTTCTGCACCTGGAGGAGAAAGGCTGTCAGAATCCAGGAAGGCTACAGTGCAGACTTTTCCCTGAGTGCTCAGAGCCTTTGCTCCTGGCCCCTTTCCAGCATCAAAAGATAGGGCTAGGGAAACAAGTCCAGGAACATCAGGAAATTAACCCCTGAGCCCCTGGGTGACCAGCTTCAGCCTCAGCCAAGAGTTGAGCCTGAGAGAAGACATGACTAACCATAACCGGGGAGTAATTTAAACAGAGGCAGAGCTGTCGAATTCCAGCTTGCAGAGCTGAAGGAGACCCTAGAGCTGAGTTCATCCAAATCTGTTTCATTCTGTTTGACATGGAGCCCAGGAATCTGCATGTTGCATCTGCCCCGCCCCCAGGTGGAACTGGCATGCTTCAAAACTTGAGAACCATGTCCCAGAGGAGTCTGGTCTGCTGCAACAACTCAGAAACTGCCAAGTGACACAGGGACAGGGAAAGGAAAAAGAGCCAGAGGCAGCATCTCACCAGAACATGGGCAAGGAGAGGCATTCCCCACCTGTAACCAGCACAGAGCTATGAATAGTCTCACCTGGAACAGCGGAGATAAAGGCCCCCGCCACCACCACTCAACAAGGTCAGCCACATTCACCCTAGTGATCAAGTACCACATTGCCCTTATATCAGAATTGTAGGCACGTTCTTTCGCAGAGGTCCCAGGATTCAGTTCAGACAATAGTGGGAACCAGCCAAGCATAGAAATTCTGCCTCTTAACTCAGAATCTTAAGTACATGGAAGTGTACCAAACATTTGCACATTAGCTCTCCCAGCCCTCCAGAAGTCACCCCCAACAGTAACCAAGTTGTACCAGAGCTGCAAGGCCACCTGATCGCCACAGAAGGAAGTGTCTAACTTGACCCTCCTCCAGACCCAGGGACAATGCATGGCTTGCCTCCCTTTTCTGCTTTTATCTTTTATTAATTCCTCAGATAATCTATTTCATGTAATCACTCTCACACTTTTTTTTTTTTTTTTTTTTGAGATGGAGTCTTGCTCTATTGCCCAGGCTGGAGTGGCATGATCTTGGCTCACTGCAACCTCTGCCTCTGGGGCTTGAGCAATTCTCCTGCCTCAGCCTCGCAAGTAGCTGGGATTACACCACCATGGTCAGCCAATTTTTTGTATTTTTAGTAGAGATGGGGTTTCACCATGTTGGCCAGGCTGGTCTCAAACTCCTGACCTCATGATTCACCCACCTCAGCCTCCCAAAGTGCTGGGATTACAGGCATGAGCAACCACGCCTGGCCCACTCTTACACTTTTTTAAGAGACAGGGTCTTGCTCTGTCACCCAGGCTGGAGTACAGCAGTATAATCATAGCTCACTATAACACTGAATTCCTGGGCAAGCGATCCTCCTGCCTCAGCCCCCGAGTAGCTGGGACTACAGGTGCGCACTCCCAGACCTGGCTAATTTTTAATTTTTTTTTGTAGAGACAGGGTCTCACTATATTGCCCAGGCTGGTCTCAGACTCCTGGGCTTAAGGGACTCTCCCACCTCAGCCTCTCAAAGCACTGAGATTGCAAGTGTGAGCCACCATGCCTGGCCTCACACACAAACTCTTTTTAATCTCTTCCTCTTATTAGATGATATCACCTGGGGCTTTCAAACTCAAATGCCTGAGGGACCAAAAAGGAAATATTTTCTTTTTCTTTTGAGACAGAGTCAAAAGACAGTCTCACTCTGTCACCCACCCAGGCTGGAGTGCATTGGTGAAATCTCTGCTCACTGCAACCTCCAGCTCCCGGGTTCAAGTGATTCCGATGCCTCAGCCTCCCAAGTAGCTGGCATTACAGACACTTACCACAATGTCCGGCAAATTTTTATATTTTTAGTAGAGACAGCATTTCACTATGTTGGCCAGGCTGGTCTTGAACTCCTGACCTCAAGAGATCTTCCTGCCTCGGCCTCCCAAAGTGCTGGGATTACAAGCGTAAGCCATCCTACTGCGCCAGGCCTGGATATATTTTAATGAAATTTTTATATCCTGGCAGATGATTTTTTTTTTCCACTTGAAACTGCTATGTAAGTCCGCATGGGTAGACCCAACAAAACATACAGGAGGCTCACCCGTTGCTGATGTCTAGGAGAATTCTTGCCTCTCGCCTTTCAGTCTCCGTTCTTCTCTCTCCCTCTCCACTTTCTATTGATAAGTTCAAATCCTTATGATGGCTTTAGACACGAGAGACGTAGGCCAACCCTATCTCAAAGAAAAATCACAATGGTTTCGCAGGAATCCTTGAATTTTTAAGCAAAGTCAGACATGTCAAGAACCTGCACCACCAGCCTCAGTCCAAACCCCTTAAGAGAGCCTAGAAGAGATGCTGCAGATTCTCCTCCACACGCTTCCTAGACCTCCTCCTCTTCTAAATTAACCTGCTTCCCTCAAGCACCAGGATTTCGGATAAATAAAAAATGAGTTCTTATTCAATGGGATTGTTTTTCTGTTTGGTTTAATTACTAGTGTTGTCACAGTATTGTTTTCCGCCGTTTCCAATGCAAATGTGCGGTGTTTCTGCTTCATTGTGCATTAAGCCGGGTGTTATAAGCCAGCCCTGGAAAGCTAATCATCACTTAAAAGACTACTCCTATGGGGACATAGGTGCCAAATTCCAAAGATCCAACTTTAACAGATCAGCTCTGGGAAGCACAATCTCTGATAGGCTGAAGGCTGCCTGGGAAAATGCTCTGTTTTGAGAGGCACATTTTGCTTTTCACACCACTCTTACTAGAATCACAGACTAGGAGGGTGAGAAGCTTGCTTAGAAATCTCTTAGTCCACCCCCTCATTTTAATGATGAGGGAGATGTTTATATGTGAGAAAATAGCAAGATAAAGAGACATGCCCCAATTCTCCCAGCTAGACCAGTGACCCAGGTCCCCAGACACTCAGCACAGAGACTCCTGCCTGTTCAGATGATGGGGAGCACCATGGCCATAAGGCAGCCAAGGAAGAAAAGAAATAAAACATGGCAGCCAACATTTATTGAATACTTGGTAAGAGCCAGGCATTATGCTGGACACGTTAGCTCATTTAATCTTCTAAAAGCTCCATCAGGTGGTATAGTTCTTACATCCACTATACAGATGAAGCTTCAGAGATTAAGCTGTCCAACCAAAGAAGCACAGTGAGTACCACAGCCAGAGCTGGGGATGAAATTCAGGCCACCATACTCTTTTTTTTCTTCTTCCTGAGACAGGGTCTGACTCTGTTGCCCAGGCTAGAGTGCAGTGATCCAATCTCGGCTCACTGCAACCTCCACCTCCCAGACTCAAGTGATTCTCATGCCTCAGCCTCCCAAGAAGCTGGGATGACAGGCATGCACCACCTCACCCAGCGAATTTTTTGTATTTTTAGTAGAGATGGAGTTTCACTATGTTGTCCAGGCTGTTCTTGAACTTTTGGCCTCAAGTTAATCCACCCTACTTGGCCTCCCAAAGTGCTGGGATTACAGACATGAGCCACCATGCCCAGCCCAGGCCACCATACTCTCAATCAAGGCACTGCTTCAGTGTTACTTAATTTGCTCCCCACCCCACCATACCCTCAAAGGAAGACCTTTGTCATCCAGTTGTCCAGTGGAGATAGTGCATCTCTCTTTCTCTGTTGAAGGAGAGGTGGCCTCCAGTAGGATTTCTCTGTTGAGAAGTACTGATAGGACCTTTCATTATCAGGTCCTAGGCAGTTTAGATGTCCAGAAAATCCTCCCAGTAAAGATTCATTTATTTTGAAATTCGAAATAAATGAATTTCATAAATGCGTAGCTGAGCTGATAGAAAAGTAAGAAAAATCTTCAAAGGCCAAAAATCATTGCAAAGCGCAATCCCAAGAGGCAAGTGCCCACTGAGGCCTGTGGTTGGGTGAGAGGTGATTGGATGATATCTGTTGACCTGGAGCTTGGCTTTTAATATGGATCTACATGAAGGGAAGGGAGTCAGAAAACAAAACCTGGAGAGAAAGACGAGAGACCAAAGAGAGAATTTTTTATCTTACAATCAAAATTAGAGGGCAAGCAGGCAGAAAATGAAAAGTGCTATAGGGAAAAAGCAAAGGAAAGAAGTTGCTGAAATCAGTCGTAGGAAATGAGAGCACAAGTAGTAAATAACAATCACAGGGCACTGACTATGAGCCTGGCCCGTGCTAAAGGCTCTACATAAACATATCTCTGTAACTTTCAACTGCACATGAAGCCAGTCAATCACTGACTGGCTTAGCAATAAGCCTAAAATATCAGAATTGGAAAGGGCATTATCTACCACTTAATTTCATGTTTTCTGCTTTTTTTTTTTTTTTTGAGACAGAGTTTCGCTCTTGTTAATCAGGCTGGAGTGCAATGGCGTGATCTCTGCAACCTCCGCCTCCTGGGTTCAAGAAATTCTCCTGCCTCAGCTTCCTGAGTAGCTGGGATTACAGGCATGCACCACCGTGCCCAGCTAATTTTTTGTATTTTTAGTAGAGACGGGGTTTCACCATGTTGACCAGGATGGTCTCAATCTCTTGACCTCGTGATCCACCTGCCTTGGCCTCCCAAAGTGCTGGGATTACAGGCTTGAGCCACCACGCCTGGCCAATTTCATGTTTTCTAAACTGCAAGTCTCAACTTTTGGTTCAAAATGTATACACAAATGTATATGTGTATATATGCATAAATACACATATAAATATGAATGTATGTAATAGGTCTCAATGTAAAACACATATCTCACCATAGATCAAAGTAAAAAATCAGATGCCAGCCAGGTGTGGTGGCTCACACCTATAATTCCAGCACTCTGGGATGCTGAGTCAAGTGGATCGTTTGAGGTCAGGAGTTCAAGACCAGCCTGGTCAACATGGTGAAACTTTATCTCTACTAAAAATACAAAAATTAGCTGAGTATAGTGGCACATGCTTGTAATCCAAGTTACTGGGCAAGCAGAGGCAGGAGAATCACTTGAACCTGGGAGGCAAGGGTTGCAGTGAGCTGAGATTATGCCACTGCATTCCTGGGCTGTGACAGAGAGAAACCCTGTCTCAAAAAAATAAATATTTTAATTAATTAATTAAAATTTAAAAAACAAATGCCTAAAAAGCATTGATAAAAACCCCAAGCCATCAATATCTTTTGTGGGAAACTGAGGCCCAGAGAGAGTGCAAGCAAAGTTGCTCACCTGGTTAGAGCAGAGTCCAGACGAGTGCCATTTCTCTCATAGCGGTAAGGTGGCACTGTGAGTCTTTACCATGCACAGCTCTAGGCCGGGATACTCCCTCCGTGCCTCTTGTCAGGGAGAAGGGAAACCACAGAGCGAACCTGGATCTGTATGAAACTGAGCATTAGACGGTTTGCTTTCAGTGCCTCTAACCTCCCAGTCGGGCTTCCTCCTTGCCCACCCCTTCTGCAGAAGCACCCACTGCCCTCTGCTGTCTCTACTCTCCTACTACCAAGACCTGCTATCAGGAAAAGCTTTAGTAACCTTCTGTGCACAAGACTGGAAATTACTCCCATGCTCCCATGCTACATTTTCCATGATTATTTGGTCTTGTTGTGAAGATGGAAAGTTTCAGCCAAAGATAAGAATTTCTCATTATAGAGTTGTTCCTAGCTTCAGAAGACGAGCAGAGAAGGCATTTAGGGCAGCAGTGGGAGAGGGGAAGAACACATTTGGCCTCTTTGATACCTGGTGAGCCCCATGCCTAGTGGTGAGTGATCAGGCATCACCAGGAATCATGGGTGATCCTAGAGGGTGATGTAGGGGTTGGCTTTAGTCTTCGCCCATAATCTCCTTTCCTTTGGTAAGGAGTCCTCTGGTCCTCTTACTTGCAAGGTTAATCAGGATAATAACAGATAAGATTGTGAATTTGAGGCCAGGCATGGTGGCTCACACCTATAATCCCAGCATTTTGGGAGGCCAAGGCAGGTGGATCACTTGAGGTCAGGAGTTCAAGACCAGCCTGGCCAACATGGTGAAATCCTGTCTCTACAAAAAATACAAAAATTAGCCCAGCCTGATGACAGGTGCCTGTAGCCTCAGCTAATCAGGAGGCTGAGGCAGGAGAATCGCTGGAACCCAGGAGGAAGAGGCTGCAGTGAGCTGAGATTGTGCCATTGCACTCCAGTGTGGATGACAGAGCTGGACTCCATCAAAAGGGAGGTGGGGAGGGGAGGGGAGGGGAGGGGAGAGGGAGCGGGAGAGGGGAGAGGGAGATGGAGATGGAAGAGGAGTGGAGGGGGAGGAGAGGGGAGGGGGGAGGAGGGAGGATGGGGGAGGAGAGGGGAGGGGAGGGGGAGGAGGGAGGACGGGGGAGGAGAGGGGAGGGGAGGGGGAGGAGGGAGGACGGGGGAGGAGAGGAGACAGGGGAGGGAGGGGAGGGAGGAAACTGAAGCTCAGAGATTGACTAGCCATGATCCTTGGACAGAAGGTGAACTCAAGGCCAGGCCATTCTGATTCCAGGCCCTCACAGCAAAGCGAAACTCCATCTCAAAAAAGATTTTTTAAAAAAGATTGTGAATCTGCTTTTTTAAACACACTTAGCAAAATTTCTAATTCTAGATAAAGTCTGTGCCTTCAAAGCCATCACCCTGGGGAACACGTCACTTATTTCAGTAATCCTTGCACTCATTTCAGGGTCTCTGTTTTAGGAATATTAATAATTACCAATTATGAAACGCCTGCTACAGATCAAAAACTATGCCAGGCACTTCATACACTGTACCTTTTTAAATCCTATAAAACAACTGTCCCCTTTTCACCAAGACAAAGCTAGTTTTATTCTATCTGTATCCAACGTCATCAGCAGCCACAAAAACTCTAATCCCTAATTGTACTCATCACACTTGGCTCTAAACGACTTTAGACTGTTTCCAGGAATCCGTCTATCCTTGAAATGTAAGAAGTGACCTCCACAAAGAACAGCCAGGAGAGCATGTCACACACCCAGCTGGATTTCCCATAAAGGAATTCCAGGAATATTCTGTTCCATGGCAACATCTTTCCAGTAAGTTTGTGGCCTCCCAGGATGACTGCTTTGACGTGTGAGTGCACGTACGGGTGCATGTGTGTTGAATCAACCAAAGTGCTTGGAGATATAGACTAGACCCTTAGATCTGCCTAACTGTCTGACCCTGGCACTTTGAGAAGAGAGAGGACAGGAAGGAAGTGTCACAAGTTTCTTTGCTGATGGGTGAAGGGCATGGGCCCCTGGTGCACCTGTCTGTCTGGTTCTGAGTCTTCCTTCTGTCTGTTTCTGGTGACCATACACAGCTAGTGACAGAGGACACCTTTCTCACAGCTATAGGGTTTATCCCATATGGAAGGCCCTACCATCCCCTTCTCCTACTGATGTAAGACCTACTCTGTGGGGGACCTGCAGGGCGACTTCAGGGTTGATTATTCTTCTCCGCCTTCCTTTACTCTTTTCCTTGATATGGAGGACTTATGTTTCTACAACCTTATGCTGCTGTTTTGTGAGTTCGTTGCCAAGCTCCCTTCCAAGCAGACCCCTCCATCCCTCATAGAGAGAAATTCTGGAAATCACCACGTTTCCTGAAGCAACATTCGCTCCTTCTCATCTCTCTTCAAACTTCCAACACCTTCTTCCTACCTCTCAGTCTCAGCCCATGATTCTTAAAAAGAGAAGCAATGAACTCCCCAGGCTCCCATCACTGTTATATTCATCCAGCCTGCCTCTGAGCCTACCTTCTCTGCCTTTCCTCCTTTTGCCAATCAGCCACATTTAATGAACAGGGCGAAGCATGCCTCCTCCAAACTCTTTCTTTTTGAAGCCTCCAGGACAACATTCTTCTCTCAAGTCATACCTACTCCTTTTCCACTGTCTTTGTTGATTTGTTCTCACAGCCCTGATGGTTGGAGTGCCCCAGGGATCAATCCCTTGACGTCCTTTTTTTTTGAGACAGAGTTTCGCTCTTGTTGCCCAGGCTCTGTTGCCCTGTTGTCTCTGCCTCCCAGGTGCAAGCGATTCTCCCACCTCAGCCTCCTGAGTAGCTGGGATTACAGATGTGCACCACCACACCCGGCTAATTTTGTATTTTTAGTAGAGATGGGGTTTCTCCCATTGTTGGTCAGCATGGTGTCGAACTCCCAACCTCAGGTGATTCGACCACCTCAGCCTCCCAAAGTGCCACCATACCTGGCCTTTTGACTTCTTCTCTTTTCTATAAACACTCCCTTTCAAGGTGAGCTCATTCTGTTTCATGGCTTTAAAATAACATGTCAACACTCATGACAAACTCATACATGTGCATCTCTGCCCAGACCCTCTCCTGAGTTCCACACACATCCATGCTGCTGCCTAGCAACCATGTTCACTTTGGAGTCACATCTTAACTTTCACACACTCCACTCAGAACCTCAGTCTTCCCTCCAGGCTCTGCCCCTAAAGCCTTCTCCATCTCAGTCAATGGACACTCCGTTCTTCTAACTCAGGCCAAAAACCTGGGAGTTACCCTGAAACCTCCCTGGCAGCTCATGCAGTCAGTAAACCCCACTGGATCTACCTTCTGAGTAGATCTGGAATCGGATCATTTGTCACCACTCACCAACTTCACACTGCCACCCCCACTTCAACCACCATCACCTTGTCTGGATATTGTGGGAGCTGCTCTCTGCTTCTACTTTTGCCTCTCAAAGTCTATTACTGTCAGCATAGCAGCAGGGTAATCTGTTTAAAACTAAGTCGGATTACTAAACTCAACAACAAAAGAGCAAACAACCCAATTCAAAAATGGGCAAAGGATTTGAATAGACATCTCCCCCAAACAAGTTATGCAAACAGCCAGCGAGCACACGAAAAGATGCTAATATCACTAATCATTAGGGAAATGCCAACCAAAACTACAATGACAGACCACTTCACATCCATTAAGATCACACCATCGAATATATATATATATATATATATATATATATATATATATATATGGCCAGGTGCAGTGGCTTACACCTGTAATCCCAGTACTTTGGGAGGCCAAAGTGGGTAGATCACTTCAACACAGGAGTTCAAGACCAGCCTGGGCAACATGGCAAAACCTTGTCTCTACAGAAAATACAAACAATTAGCTAGGTGTGGTGGCGCACACCTATAGTCCCAGCTACTTGGGAGACTGATGTGAGAGGATCGCCTGAGCCAAGAAGTTGAGGCTGCAGTAAGCCGTGATCACACCACTGCAGTCCAGCCCGTCATTGGAGTGAGACACTGTTAAAAAGAAAAAAAAAAAAACAAACCCCACAGAAAATAGCAAGTGTTGGTGAGTATGTGGAAAAGTTGGAACACTTGTTTATGCACGTTGGTGAGAATGTAAAACGGTCCAGCCACTGTGAAAACAGTATAGCAGGCTAGCCATGGTGCCTCACGTCTGTAAACCCAGGACTTTGGGAGGCCCAGGAGTGCAGATCACAAGGTCAGGAGTTCGAGACCTGCCTGGCCAACAACGTGAAACCCCATCTCCATTAAAAAATACAAAAAGTAGCCGGGCCTGCTGGCCGGCTCCTGTAATCCCAGCTACTAGGGAGGCTGGGCAGGAGAATTGTTTGAATCAGAAGGTAGAGATTGTAGTGAGCTAAGATCGCTCCACTGCACTCCAGCCTGAGTGACAGAGCAAGACTCTGTCTCAAAAAAAAAAGAAAGAAAGAAAGAGAGAGAGAGAGAGAGAGAGAGAGAGAGAGAGAGAGAGAGAGAGAGAGAGAGAAAGAAGGAAGGAAGGAAGGAAGGAAGGAAGGAAGGAAGGAAAGAAAGAAGAAAAGAAAGAAAGAAAGAAAGAAAGAAAGAAAGAAAGAAAGAAAGAAAAGAAAGAAAGAAAGACAGTATAAGAGTTTCTCAAAAATTAAAAATAGAATTATCACTTTTCTGAAGATCCGGCAAGAGGGCAGAGGTTGAGCAGGAGGAGAAGCGGACCTTCCGCAAGTTCACCTACCGCGGGGTGCACCAGGACCAGCTGCTGGGCACGTCCTACGAGCAGCTGATGTTGCTGGGCACGTCCTACGAGCAGCTGATGTTGCTGGGCACGTCCTACGAGCAGCTGATGTTGCTGGGCACGTCCTACGAGCAGCTGATGTTGCTGGGCACGTCCTACGAGCAGCTGATGTTGCTGGACAGTACGCGCCAGCGACGGCGGCTGACCCGGGACCTGCGGTGGGAGCAACACTCGTAGCAGAAGCGCCTGCGCAAGGCCAAGGAGGCGGTGCCGCCCGTGGAGAAGCCGGAAGTTGGAAGACGCACCTGAGGGACATGATCATCCTGCCCGAGATGGTGGGCGTCTACAACAGCAAGACCTTCAACCAGGTGGAGATCAAGCCAGAGATGATTCGCCACTACCTGGGTGAATTCTCCATCACCTACAAGCCCGTGAAGCACAGCTGGCCGGGCATCGGGGCCACCCACTCCTCCCGTTTCATCCCCCTCAAGTAGTGGCTCTGCTAATAAGGCACACAGATCTCCAAAAAATAAATAGAATTATCATGTGATTCAGCAATTCCACTTCCGGATATACACCTAAAAGAATTGAAAGGCCTCAAAGAGATATTTGTACACCCACGTCCATAAGAGCGGGATTCACAATAGCCTGAAGTGGACACAACCCAAGTGTTCAACGACGGATGAAGGGATAACCAAAATGTGCTGCATACTGACAGTGGAAAATTATTCAGCCTTGAAAAGAAAAGAAATTCTACTTTGGGAGACTGAGGCAGGTGGATCACTTGAGGTTAGGAATTTGAGACCAGCCTGGCCAACGTGGTAAAACCCAGTCTTTACTAAAAATACAAAAATTAACTAGGCATGGTGGCGCAGGCCTATAGTCCCAGCTACTCCAGAGGCTGAGGCAGGAGAATTGCTTGAACCCAGGAGGTGAAGGTTGCAGTAAGCTGAGATTGTGCCACTGCACTCCAGCCTGGGCAACAAAGCAAGATTCTGTCTCAAAAAAAAAAAAAAAAAAAAGGAAATTCTGTTGTGTGCTGTGGCTCGCATCTTCCAGCACTTTGGGAGGCCAAGGCTGGAGGACTGCTTGAGCCCAGCAGTCCAAAACCAGACTGGACAACACAGTGAGACCCCATCTCTAAAAAGTCTTTTTTTTTAAATTAGCCTGGCATGCACCTGTAAGTCACAGCTACTCAGGAGGCTGAGGTTGGGAGGATAGTTTGAGCCCAGCAGGTCAAGATTGCAGTGAGCTATGGTCACGCTACTGTGCTCCAGCCTGAGTGACAGAGTGAGATTCTGTCTCTAAAAATAAAAAAATTTACAAAGGAAATCCTGACATACGCCACGACACTGATGAACCTTGATGACCTTATGTCAAGTCAAATAAGCCAGATGCAAAAGCACAAATACTATATGATTCCACTTATATGAGGTCCCTACAGAAGTCAATTCACAGAGACAAAAAGTAGCCTGGTGGTTACCAGTGGCTCGGGGAAGGGGAATGGGAGTTGTCGCTTAAAAGGTGCAGAGATTCAGGGTGATACAATGGAAAGAGTTATGGAGATGGAGGGTGGTGACTGCTGAGCCTTATGAATGTATTTAATACCACCAACGGGATGGGAGAGACCAGGAGAGGGAGATGGAGTGAAGCAAAGAAGAGGAGAGTGAAGATGGCAGATGTGGAGGAGAAGGAAGGAGTAGGAAGGAGAATGAGAAGAGGTGGAGAGACTGTGGAGGGGTGAACAGCAGCTGAACTAGTGCCTGGCTCCATCCTTGAGTGGGGGGCAGTGAGCAGGAAGGGCCTGGAGACGGGAGAGGAGAGAGCCAAGTCTCTGCTTGTAGGGAAAAGCACAGAGGTTCTGGTGAAGGGAAGCTGGAGGTCCCAGGGCATGGGTTAGAGATAGGGTTTAAGAAGGCATTCCTGGGCCAGGTGCAGGAGCTCAGCCTGTAATCCCAGCACTTCGGGAGGCCAAGGCAGGTGGATCACTTAAGGTCAGGAGTTCAAGACCAGCCTGGCCAACATGGTGAAACCCCATCTCTATTAAAAATACAAAAATTAGCTGGGCATGGTGGCACGTGCCTGTAATCCCATCTACTTGGGACACTGAGGCAGGAGAATTGCTTGAACTAGGAAGGCAGAGGTTGCAGTGAGCTGAGATCTTGTCACTGTATTCCAGCCTGGGCGACAGAGCAAGACTCCGTCTCAGAAAAAAAAAAAAAGAAAAAAGTCAGGATAGTACATTTTATGTTGTGTGTATTTTATTAAAATAAAACAATGGGAAAAATAAGTCAGATTCCTGGCTCCTCTTCTCAAACTCCTGCCTAGGCATTTAATGTGGAATAGATCATTCTTACCCAGGTGGGACTGCCAGACCCCCCACCTCTCCTTTCCTTCCTGCCTCTTTCCTCTTGCCCACTCTGCCCCGGCCCTGCTGGCCTCCTCCCCTGTTGCAAGGGAAGCTTAAAGTGCTCCTGCCTGTCCATTTTCCGCTTACTCTGGAGGGAGTGTTCTCTCTCCCCTTAGCTTGCTTTATTTTTCTTCTTATCACTCTTCCCACCCGGCATATCATCTGTCTGCTTCCCCTCCCCGCGCCCTGGCACAGCTCCAGGAGAACAGGGACTTCAGCTGCTGCTGTTCAAGAACGTGCTCAACAAGAGCCTGCCTGCCCCTCTGACACGGTCCTCCCAGAGCCACAGCCGCGCCTCTGTCTCAGGAGTATAGAATCTCTTCCTCCTCCTTAGTCCCCACACCTGGCCCACCCTTTCCCTTTGTTCTTCTACCCAGTGCTGCCAGTGACAAGTCCATGAGACCAGACACTCAAGACAGCAGACAACCAGGGGCACAGGGGACTTTGTCCCCAAGAGGGTCTCAGTAAATGTTGGCTGCTTGTAAAGAATCTATGTGGTGTTGGTTTTATGGTCAATGGGGCTGTTTGCTCCTTCTTAAGGGCACCCACTCCTATTTCAGGGCACGTGTACCCCAGAACCAAGTTACCAAAGACCCATGTAGGTCCCAAGGATGCCACCTGTCTTTGAGAGATTTGGGGAACTCACAGCCTTCTCATAAGCTCTTAATGCAGTATTGCTCCAAGGATTCACATCTCACTGGTGGCCCTTGGACAGGCATGCGGTGGCATTGTCCACACCTTGAAAAACTTCTCTCCGCTTTTTTTTTTTTTGTGATGGACTTTTGCTCTTGTTGCCCCAGGCTGGAGTGCAATGGCATGATCTCAGGGCTTACTGAAACTTCTGCCTCCCAGGTTCAAGTGATTCTCCTGCCTCAGTCTCTAGAGTAGTTCGGATTACAGGCATGTGCCACCACGGTGGCTAATTTTGTATTTTTAGTAGAGACAGGGTTTCTCCATGTTGGTCAGGCTGGTCTCAAACTCCCGACCTCAGGTGATCTGCCTGCCTCAGCCTCCCAAAGTGCTGGCATTACAGGTGTGAACCACTGTGCTCGGCCTAAGCTCTCTCTTTTCAATGCATTTTCAAAGACCCTTCATGGGTTGAATTGGGTCCCCCCCCAAAAAAGAGCACTGTGTGCTTCCCAGGCCTGGCCCATGGGCAGTCTCCCAGGAAGACCCTACACTTGGTAATCCGCTGACTGCCAGCGGCCCAGTCTGATTCCAATGTGGTCCTTTCTCACTGACTCTCAGCCCTGGACTGAATCCCAGTGTGGTCCTTTCTCATTGATTCTCAGCCCCAGACTGGATCCCGGTGCTGTCCTCTCTCACTGACTCTCAGCCCCGGACTGGATCCCGGTGCTGTCCTCTCTCACTGACTCTCAGCCCCGGACTGGATCCCGGTGCTGTCCTCTCTCACTGACTCTCAGCCCTGGACTGAATCCCAGTGTGGTCCTTTCTCATTGATTCTCAGCCCCAGACTGGATCCCGGTGCTGTCCTCTCTCACTGACTCTCAGCCCCGGACTGGATCCCAGTGCTGTCCTCTCTCACTGACTCTCAGCCCCGGACTGGATCCTGGTGCTGTCCTCTCTCACTGACTCTCAGCCCCGGACTGGATCCTGGTGCTGTCCTTTCTCATAGGAGGCTCAAAGATAGGGTAAAGCAAAGTAAGCCAGCAGGGCTGCCTTTCTGTAAGGGGAAAGAGCAGATTGGGAAGAAGAATGGCAGGTACTGAGTAAACCAGTTTTCTGGATACAACCCCACCTTTCCCATTACCACGGTCCAGGCAGGACCATGGTTCTTCCTCTTTCAGCCCAGTACTAGCTCTGGCTTCTCAGGGGAGTCTTATTTATAGAACTAGAATAAGTTGATTACAGGGCTCCATAAAACTTTACTACAATGTTAACAAGACTTATAATGACTTTTGTATTCTGTTTCTGGAGAGATAAAAGGGAATAAGCTTAAAGGCTGTTCTTTTCGCTTTTCTCTTTCTTACCCCCTCTCTTTTCCTAATTTACTTTCATTTTCTCCCTATTTTTTTGTTTTTCTTTTTCTGTCTCTTCCTATGTCTTTCTCTTTGCTAAGTACATAGATTTCCTAGGTTCTTGTTTCTCACTTTTTTCCTATCACTGACTCTTTTCCCAGCCATCACACTTGTGGTTGGTTAATTATCTGACTGCTGAATAAAGAAAATAATAGGCCGGATGCAGTGGCTCACGCCTGTAATCTCAGCACTTTGGGAGGCCGAGATGGGTGGATCATGAGGTCAGGAGTTTGAGACCAGGCTGGCCAACATGGTGAAACCCCATCTCTACTAAAAATATAAAAATTAGTCAGACATGATGGTACATGCCAACTACTTGGGAGGCTGAGGTAGGAGAATCTCTTGAATCTGGGAGGCAGAGGTTGCAGTGAGTTGAGATCGTGCCACTGCACTCCAGCTGGGTGACAGAGGTAGACTTTGTCTCAAAAAATAAATTAATTGATTAAAAAAATCAATATATTATTATAAATATATTTCCTCATGTTTGTATGTTTTTGAATTTACAAAATATTTACAGGTATCTGTGTATATACATATACAATATATATAAAATTTTGTATGTGTGTATATCTCTCTACATAAAATCTTGTTTGCTCTTTGCAATGACTCGTGACATAGTTGTTATTTTCTTGTTTCACAAAT